CTTCTCCATTCTTCTCCTACTTTGCGTCTCTACTTAGAAGGAAGTACTTACCAGCTCCCAAGCGAACACAATCTGATTGAATAGAAATTTCAAGTGTTCGTTTGTAGTGTTGATGATCAGTTGCTCTACGCCATTGAGATCGAGACTTTCAAAGCCAAATGGATCCAATATAGACACTTGATTCCCACTGTTGTAATGCAAGRAAAACCTTTTTACAAATACGTTTTATGTGACAATTGGCTTCGAAAACGATATTCTATTAACGCCGAATAAAGGATTTTAATGATTGTTGATCAATTGTTTATTATTGATCGCTATGTCGTGTATGTCGTAAAWTTTTGGTTTTAATATGTTATATATCCCTCTTTACCCCAAACTTTTCATTTAGCATCGCTCAATTTATCAAAAACTTTTTCGTTCTTTTTTCCCTTCCTTCCAGCTGCCTTTCTCCATGAATTCTCTCGTTCATTAGTCACATCAATCCATCCTTTTATCTTATCAATCCCTCATTTTGTCCATCAATCTATTCATAAATCCATAACTAAATCGCCCCCTCTTTCCCTCTCTTCCTTTCTTCGTCGACCTGGTTATCGATCTCATTCATCCTAGGAAAAGTTATTTTTTTGTGTCAAATTAAACTTATAAACATTTTTTTTTATCAGCTTTGCCCCTAGTATGGGCAGGGACACCGCAACAGCATGAGCTAATTACTGCGGGCCCTGTACTCTTACACTCACTACCTCTACATTAAGTATTTTAGCACACAACACTCCTCACATGTTGATTTTTATTGAGGGAGGAAAACCGGAGGACCCGGAGAAAAACCCTCGTGGCAAGGGAGAGAACAACACATCAAACCAACTCAAACTCACATATGGTCCGTGTCCGGGAATCGAACCCGGGCCACAGCGGTGAGAGGCCAGCAGCTTAACCACAGCAGCTTAACCACAGCTTAACCACATGGTGATATGATGTAAATTATAAATTAAGCATTTTTGCTCAATAGCATGGCAAGAGTTTCAAATAAAAACTGCCAATTATGTTGTCAATTATAATCAAAAACTGCTACTGCCAAAATAGGAAACGTCTCATGGCAAGCTCGAACGTCGGAGAAACTGAATGCTCTTTAAATGATACCATATTTGCTCTCGTTTCAACAAACGCCGAAGTGATTGAAAATATTACTTCTTCGCAATTATCTCCACTGTGATTGACCTGAAAAAGCCGAGATCCTACACTAGCTACCTCATAGTTTCCGATAAACCCAAAACCATCATCAAACCATCCATCGATAAATCGGCCCGCCTCATTCACCAAACCATAACCATGCAGGGAGATTAATATATAATATCTTTCAAAAACTCATACATAATTAATAAGTTATTAGGCCAATAGAATGAGCCTATTTGGTCACATGCATGGACCTTTATATTTGATAAAACACTCCTTATTAGTATTCTTTATATAAAGAATACTTATAAGGGTGACCTTTATCAGATATAAAGGTCCATGACCCTAGCAAAGGTCATGATAACGGTTTGATAACTGATCATTGACCAATGCAGAATGTCAAACGGTTGCAGTAAACAGCCAACAGCGCTTCTATTTTACTTTATGTATATCCAATGTGGGATGACAAGAGTGCTTTGTAAAGTGATTCGCGCATGATCAGTTTGCCCTATTAATCTCAGAACATATTTGTACGACAATTTCTACAAGAGTTTTAACGGATTTGAGTTTCTGGCAAATTAGTGTTGAAGTTTTTGAAGCCGTTTAAAACACACCTTCGGTTCGAATCTTTATACCTGATAAAACACTCTTCTCATGTTTTAAACTATACATAATATACACCCACTTGCAGAAACGTTCAGTCTCATTGATCTTCTCTTGTCTTTTCAATTTATTCCTTAACGTTTTCGAAGTGTGTGTATCCAAAATACATTTTTTTTAATCTTATTCATTATTTATCATTTATATATCCAGTTAACAATCTCTTTTTCTAAAATACTTAGGATACTACGCGCGCTGTGATTGGTCGAAAACCATGTTTGATTACAGTTTCTAAAATATTTAGGATACTACGCGCGCTGTGATTGGTCGAAAACCATGTTTGATTACAGTATCAAAACACGCTCGTGCGCGTCAAAAATTTATTTTATTCTTTTAATTTTAGAAAAGAAATAAAAGACGAAATTCCGTGTTTGATACTCTGATCAAAACACTTGGGATGTAGGGAGAGCACTCGTAAAGCTGGAAACCACTCCGCTACGCGTCGTGGTTTCCTACGCTTCTCTCGTGCTCTCCCTACATCCCGCGTGTTTTGATCAGAGTATCAAACACGGAATTTCGTCTTTTATTCCTTAAATCAAACTATGCATATTTCACTTCCCGAAACAGTATTTTGATTTTTGGTATAGCATCTGTATCATCTCTAGTGAATTAATTTGTGTTTAACCAAAAACGATTAGAAGAAAGTAGCTGATCTCTAACTTCTGATGTACATTACACCAAAATAAGTMTTTRATAAGCAACAATTSTATGTCTCGTGTTTGAATMATTTATTTTCGRTAACCATTTTTTATGTTAAAATTGAACATCTGGCATTTTGAATTCGTAATAAATAAAAGAAACTGAGAAAATCCTCATTCAAAGATCCATAGCGAAAACGCTGTGAGCAATTGTTTCATAGTCCTTCATTTTCTTGAATCCTGTTTTTTTTTTAATTTATATTCCCTGAATCTTTTTATATATCCTTTTTCACTGAAAAAATATATTTATTGAATCATTGTTAACAAAATTATATTTCGYGTATATTACATTTTCCACTTATTCAATAAACAGATATACACCTGCAGAAATCTTTCCGACCTGATTTTATAAATCCGACTTGTAGTTCACGATAAGTGGATTTGATCGTTTGCACTTAGGAATGATTATAAGAGCTGACAGAAGATCAGTCGCTGCTAAGGCAAGAATCACTATCCCAAACCCACTAAAACCTGCCAGATCAGATAATTCATGTAAAAATAAGGTTTCGTGGAAAATAGTTCCAAAAACATCCTCTATTTTTAAAATATTATTTTTGCGGCATCGAAGTCGATCTGCAAAAAGAACCTTAATGCTCCTCTGACGTTACACAAATCTGTATGTTATGTAACCACTTATGATGATCCACTTCTCCTTTTTTCTTTTTTTTTTCTCCTTTTTTATTCTTTTTGGCGTTTAAATGCCATTTTTATAAAAAAAAACTGAAAAGATTCACTTCGTTTCCTAAAATCAAAGTACAAACTTAAATTTAATTTACAAGGAAGTGTTTGCATAATGGATGATAACAAACTGTGCGAGCTTGAAAAAAAAGTAATAATAGCAAGATGTCATTTATGATGACCTATCTGGTTTCCCTTACAAGAACATCATTAATGAGGTTTTTGGGAAACTGAAAAAATTAGGAATGCCGAATGAATTCTATAACATATGAATTATCTGATCTGGCAGGTTTTAGTGGGTTTTGAAACACGTTCGAGGTAGTTTTTGAACGAATTAGTTATTATAATTAATTATCTCGATTTCACACATAATTGAAGGTTATATACATATTGACCAAGATTGCGTCGTGCAAGTCTTTTTCAAAGCCATCCGCAGTGGTGAGTTTTCTTCATATACCTTATTTGATTTAGATTCATTAATTATTTATCAAACTGACTTTAATTTTCTTAATTTAATCTTCACAAAATTGTAAAGAAACACTTCCGACAGGTGCGTGAAACACTTGTTAAACACAACTGACGTTCTTCCATAACCATGCAATTTCAAGTTCTTTACAAGGTCGTGATCCTTGTGTTTATCAACATCGCTTCGTTGTTTGGTAACATACTGGTATGCTTCAGCGTTTACAAAAAYMCCCGCYTAAGAACCAAGATTGGGATAGTGATTCTTGCCTTAGCAGCGACTGATCTTCTGTCAGCTCTTATAATCATTCCTTTGTCAACAGCTTCGATGGCTCTGTCCGAAAACAACATGGATTTAATGCCGGAATGGTTGACAAGCAACAARAACGGACCTTTATGCTATCTCCAGTGTTTTATGGTGTATACATTGTACGGTGAGTAGGTTGATTTAAGAGTCTTTTCAGTTTTGTTGCTTTTGTTGTTGTCTTTCTTTCTTGGTGTTTGTTTTTATCCACCATGGTCATGCCAGACCTTCTCCGGAAGCCAAAATCACCGAATCATTGAGCGACTTCGCGCATATTTAAGCGATTTTAGCAATAATTGCACTAAAATTACTCAAAATACAAAGCGGATTTGTAAGATTWTAGACAATTTTGGGAAATTGAGGCGACTTTGGCCTATTTTGGCTAACTTCGATAGCCTTTGGGCGTAAATTTGAGCGATTTTAGTAAATAYTGCCCTAAAACCGCTCAAAAGTAAAAACTCCTCCATCCTAGCTGAATCACCCATCAATTTCCATATTCGTTCATCAGGTATGTCTCTATTCCTAATGGCAGAAGCTGCATTTATCAGGTATCTTTGTGTTGTCCATCCATCTCTCTATCGTCGCTACATCACAATCAAAACTATTCTAGCAGCCTCGGGAATCAACTGCTTAATTGTTCTGGCCTTACAAGCCTCGGTGCTCGTGCCAGAATACGCGGTTGCACGGTTCATATCAAAGAACAACCTGTGYATGATGTCTTTCCCGAAAAAAGAGCACAAGTCTATAGAGGCAGGACTGTTATGGACTATAATCGTCACCTGGTTTGTCATTCCAGTTGCTGTTAGCTTTTTCAGCTACATTGCGATATTTTGCAAGGTTAAAAAACACAACCGCAGCATCCATATCACATCGAAAAGTTTAGATAAGAAAGGTGAAAAAAAGAGAAAATCCACAAAATCTACTGCAGATATGGAAAGCAAGAAACAAGCGATTGCAGAMGATGGAAAACCAGAAACACAAGATGGAGAACAKTTAGAAAAGTWCGATAATAATGTTTGCCTTTCCGCCAATAGGGATAMAAAACCTCTGAGTCACTTCTTGGAGAGGCATGACYTGTCACAGGKTGGTTCTTCACATGTGCACATCCGTAGGCAAGGCGAYYACACCCATAGCGASGATRTTCACATACAAGCGACGAATGATAATACTATTATTGACGACACTCGTGTCACTAGTATGGGTGACAAAGGTAAACATTATGCCAAAGTGTGTGGTAGAAAAAGACATCTGAACAGCAGAGAGAAAATCGGTAGCATGTGTGAGGACAATCTACGTGAAAGGAATATTCACATCCCTCTAAAAGGAAAAATGCTTGTGATGGAAACAGAATCAAGCCAGAGTCAAACTGTAGAAATCACATCCATGGACAAAATTCAAGAAARTAAAATTCATCAGGTCGACAGCGGGACCTGCTCCTCCCAAAATGACGTCATGACAAGTATTTCAAATCAGTACAAAACTCAAAGAAGCGAAGCCAAAGTAACCAAGACAGTCATGGCTGTGTTCGCTGGGTTTCTATGCTGTTGGTTGCCTGCTGTAGTGGATTTTGCTATTGCTCAAACACAAAAGTTAGGCTCCTAYCACGGCCTCGTGATTCCCATTTGTTGTGCTCTTTCGTCGGCCGTGAACCCCTTYATTTATGGCGTCGCTGATCGAAGGTTTCGACAAACGTACAAAAAGATACTCACTTGTAAGAACGTCTGAGATGGATCCACAAGCGAGCAAAGGCATGCAGACGCCCAWATATCCCGAGAGGGACATGATGGTTTAGTGGTTTTCCCTACATAATGACCAGAAACACTGATCCCTCAACAGGTTCTAGCGATATTTTATTGCTAGTTGTCAAATTCATTAAAAATCCACAAGGTAGACACAATGGAGAATCATTGTCGTGACTTTTGACATCTTCAGTTATATGAGCAAGAGATTTGTCAAAGTTTGCATACGACTTTAACT